TCCCCCCCCCCTCGTCCGGGGTTAATCAGAGTTAATTCTAATCGATTCGATTTCGCGGCACTCAGCTCCCCGCTGTATGAACGCGCATTCGATTCTCCGGATAAAATCGATAAATGGATAAGGTCCATGAAATAGGATTCTCCAAGAATCTCTCAGCGGAATACATTTGTGCCGCTGTCGAACGCCTCTCGGAGACATTGTTCTCCCGCCACCTCCCTCGCTATCGCAGAGTGGCGGTGGTGGAAATCGCTTTCTTTTCTTCCTTTTTTACCGTCGCATCCACGAGAAGAAATCCACGGTGCGGCGAACCGCGTCGAAGAATGCATTTAAAAATTCCGGGGGATGGTGTGCCGGGATGAAGGGGAAGGGGGGGGGAAGATAGAAAGGGATGCATACGTAACTCGACGTATAATCACCGCGTCGAAATGCATCGCGACGGCGCGAGTTCCTTCGGATTTAATCGTATTGCGCCCCGCATCGGTCTTGTACTCCCTGAGACGTTCTGACAAGATACAAGAAACGTGCCTCGAGTTCCTGTTGTGATCATCGCTCTTAAATCCCTTTCACATCGTCTCTACGAGGCAGGAATTTTCTATCAAACTTCGATCGGCCGCGACAGTTCTTTCGAACGATTATTTTTGTCTTTATCGAACACGTGGGACTCGAGTCTAATCCTGCGGTTATTAATTGTTTCTTCTTCTGTTCTACTTACTGCTTAACTTGTTTATTATTTTTTTATAATTTACTATGTGTGATTAAAACATGTTTCATTTTTAATACTTCAATTATTTGTAACGAAATTACAAAAGTTATTACACCGCGCAGCAACGATTACTCTTCTTCTCATTAATGAACATGAGGGAAGCTATTTATTAAACTTTTCAATCAATGTAATTTATTTTACGATGTCACTCGTGAATTTTATTTTACAGTATCCATAACGTGTTATCGGTAATTAACGATTGAGTATATTATCGACTGACAATTGTCGCTTCTTGCAGCTTCGTGCGCCAGCAAAAACAAAAATACATCTCGTTAATCGCGTTCGGTTGTATTTGCTATATGCAACGAACTTAAGATGTAGATTTCATTGACATTAATGCGTGAGCATCTTACGTGGGACGCGCGAACACGTTCGGCTCGAAATCGATTCAGGAATGTCGACTGTTCGATTCGCTTTTTATCGGAATAGTCGCTGACGCATCGACCAGCAGCAGCATTGCCCACGCAACACAAACGTAAGGATAGACGCACGTGCAATCGCACATGTCAGAAAAACCGGGGAAAACACGGCCAGCTCGTTAATTAAGACGTCCGCCTACTTCTTGATAGCGTCGCGATTATTATTTCCTTCGCGTTTAAACATCATCGATTGAATGTCGAGACGCGAAAGGCGGCGATATCTTATCCTCTTGCCTTGCACTCAATCCTCTTCTTGTCCTTTCAGCCTTTACTTTCTGTATGTACTATTTTTCTTTTAGGTCTCCGCACCTGTGCTTGCTTCTCGCTTTTAGAAAGTTCCCTAGTTTTGCTTTGATGTATCACTGTGAAACAGTTGGGAAACAACAATAACAAGATTTTGATCAAAGTTTACCTTAGCATTAGTTATTACTTTGATGCAAAGTAAAACTCTAATTAACATTTAACTCTAAGTAACATTTTAATCAAGTAACATTTATTATTTTCTATTAATACTTAAACTTCGTATAAGAAAATGTTCTAAAAATTTAAGTGTTATTTTCAATATTAATAACACATTTTATAGAATTACAATATATATAATTACTGAATATTTGTCTCTCGTAATCTAAATTATATGGGATTTTGGAAAAATTTAAATTTTAATAACAAACTATTTGTTTATTACATTTGATGATTAGTATATTACGTTTTCATCAGATTTTTTTTATATATTTATCCAAATAATCACGTTTTCTTTTTTATTTCCTTTTCAACAAAACCTTATTGTCCTTTTCTTTAATCGATATTATTTTTTTTTTTACATTTATCCTCTTCTATTGTGCTTGCGCTCATCTGCACGCAACTTTCTTACAACCCTTTTTCCTCGCAACCCTTGTCTCCCTCTCCCTCATCATTATCAGGTACCCCCTTTTGCGTTTGCCTCACGATGCTTCTTCTTCTTCCATTAAGAAATAATTTCTATCTACTCCTCCGTCTCCTCCGTTCGCTCTTAACTCTCCTCACCGGCTTATCCTCGACCTCACCGACCTTGCCTTTATCCCCGCGCGTTTATTAAAGCCTCTTTGTGCGTCGACGTTGGCTAAGGATTTGCCGAGGTCGAATGACGCGCGAACATTACTCGCACTCACGTTACCGTATATACCGATGCGAACAAAATCGCGCTAAAAAGCCGAGCCGTGGATATCGCGAGCGAACCTTAGAATTAACAACCACCACTAACACTCGGTAGCCTCGTAATTATTATTATTTCTTTCCCACCCGTCTCTAACCCGCCTAGATGCAAAAGATTGTAACATAGTTGCCTGCGCCATGATTGCCTGTCTTAAGTAACGACTCATTACTCGGCCAGAGGTCGAATGCTGAAACGGTATATAGTGGACAGCCCTTAACCCTTGCCTAAGATTCTTCCGTCACTCTACGATCCTTCTCGACATCTCATATAGTTGGATCGACTTAATAGCAGTAACAGTTCTGGAAAACATCGTAATAATTAAACGATCAAATCGTAAAGCTGGCAAAAAGGCTTTGAGAAATGCTACAGATTATGTGAAATATTTTTCGTAAATTGTTTTATATTACAATGAAAGAACTTGAATATTTTCCATCTTACTCTTTTGTACTAAATCTAATTTCTATATTTATCCTAATGATATGGAAATGTTGACATGCTCTAAGTAATAATCCATTCTTTTACCTTCATTGAAGATCATTAATTATTGTTCTAATGAGCATTGTAGAATAGACGAACAGATGTTTACCAAATTGCGGGGCAAATTGCCTGTTGGCTCGATTCGCGTCGCTCGACGCGACTTAATTAATATTTGTTAATTAAATCGGTAGTGAGTACGCGCCATGCATTCACTACGAACTTCGCTTTACTCTCTCTCAATTCAATTTGTTGCAAATTACACGCGAATGCTTAACTATTCCATTTCTGCTTTAGCAGAATGGCTCGTTTCTGGTAATGTGTACGTCTTTTTCCATATTACGCTACATTATTGTTAACAAGTTACGCACCTCAAATTATTGATATATATGAAATCAATATCGATGCAATCCGATCCGATGGAGGGTTTAATATTTCACGAAATATTTTCTGGAGACAATTTTTAAAACTTACTAAAATCTTTATTGAATTTAATTAAATAAAAATTACATATTTAAAAATAAAGAAAAAAAATTAATTAATCCTGTATCTATTGTATATACAATTTATGGAGCAAAGAATTAATATGATCGTTTTAGCGTGACGATCGTTACGAAGAACGTTTCTCGGAACGATAGTAATAATTACTAAATGAGAAGCGAATGTCGTTCTTGATAAATTGCGTCGAAGTTAAACGTCATCACCGAAGCAATCCATGTCGTGCTTCGTTCGGATGATTGCTGTTATTACTATTTGAGAATATGATCTTTTTATTAGGACCACGAACGATTCTGGTCCCAGGGATCGTCATCTATCATTATTCCGCTGTCAATTGAAAGCTCGAGACGTCGCGAACTGAAATTTAATTTACGACCTCTTAACCGCAAACCACGAATGAGACTCGCGGTCTAAGGTCTAAGAAAATAAATGCTACTCGAGTGCATCTGGAAGAGATGATTGTATCACGCGCGTTCATGAGGAAGATGTGACGTGCCGAGAGTTTCACGTTAAAATAATAGCATATTACAATACAATAAATAAATTGCAGTTACGTTGTTACTTTCGGTGACTGTGATCTTATATCTAGACCTCCGGCGACCACTGGCATGGAAGTTACAAAAACTCACTTGCGACAGCGGATACGGTACTCACTTGGGAAATTTGCGGAACGAATCTGCGCGACGACGTAAATATTCATGTTATTTTCATAATACGAAAGTAAAATTGTCGTCGTTGTAAAATTCATCGCCGTGTCGGATGTTACACAGTCGGATACGCCATTACTATTAAAGTCAGTGATATATGTCGGCGAGGAACGGAACTGCGGGTATTAAATATTTTTGAAAATGTTCACTGTCATGGGAACGGGGAAAACGGAATACGCAATGAGAGGTCGTCACCGAACTAATATCGATAATTAATACCCAATAAATACTTAAACGGAAGTAACATTTATTCTGTGCTAGCCGAGCCAGCAGTTGTTCATAATTCCATCGTAAATATTTAATTCTTCATCCCGCTCGTGTCATCCTCGTTTCGTTAATACAAGCGCACTCTGGCATTATGTATAATAAATATATTATACAAGCCCGTTAACTGCAAGTATCAATGACTGGCATTTCTCTAATTTTACGCAAATTCGCCAATTATCATAATTTTTTAAAATATATTAACGATCTTGTGGCAATTGAAATATTTGCAACAATATTCAAGTCGGCTATATTATATTTTGCAAGCAACTAATTATATTAAAATTGATATATTAAATTCTTTTTGAATTATTAAAATATATAATTATATTTTAATTACTTTTATCAAATATTTTCTGTTGTGCATTGTTTTATCATTACATGAAATTATATTGGAATTAATTAAAAAAAATCATAGGAATTATAAGAAACAAATAAAACTTAAAATTATAATTTATTAAAAAATTAAATATTTTATTAAATATTGAAAAATATGAAATTTTATACGTAAAATCTCAAGATTCTGATACTTTCTAGATTTAATTCTGTTTGTTCTGAACACACAATTAAGTACTTGAATTATTCCGAAAATGTTATATTTATTATTATAATTTCATTTCAAATAAATTAACTGCGCTATCAATTTGTAATAAAAAAAATATATATATATATTTTTGTTTCAGGTGGTGGTGGAAAGCTCGACTCTCGCATTGGAGTACGGTGATCTCGAGATCGATCCCGGGTCTCCAGTGAATCCGGATTTGCTGTTCGACTCGCAGCTGATGCACCTCTACGTGCTGACAGAGAAAAAGGTCTCGAAGGTCAAAGTGCAAGAATGCTCGGTCTACAAGACCTGTTGGGATTGTCTGGGTGCCAAAGATCCGTACTGCGGCTGGTGCTCGTTGGAAAACAAGTGCAACCTCCGTAGCGACTGTCAGGACGCTGCCAAGGATCCGCTGTATTGGATCTCCTATAAGAGTGGCAGATGTACGACGATCACCACCGTCACGCCGGACCAACTGCAACGAACTACCGCCAGGACCCTCGAACTCGTCATTGAGAACCTACCGACGTTGTCCGGGCAATTCCTGTGTGCGTTTTCCGCCCTTGACAAGACCCTGATCACGAACGCATCGCGAAAGTCGTACGGGGTGAACTGTACCACACCGAGGACCGATTTGCTGCCATCGATACCGCCGGGCCGACATCACTTTACAGCCAAACTGTCGGTACGGATGACAAATGGGCCCGATTTAGTGGCGACAAATTTCACTTTCTTCGACTGCAACACGTACAGCTCGTGCACACAATGCGTTTCATCGAGCTTTCCGTGTGACTGGTGCGTCGATGGTCACCGGTGTACACATGACACGGCGGAGAACTGTCGGAATGACATTCTTGTTACGGGAGTCAGCGTAAGTTCTTTGTTATTTGTCTTTAGATCGAAGAAAAATGAAGCAGTATATAAATATTGCTTTGTCATCATCTAAGATTTCTTAGGCTTCTCCCCTCTCAGGCTATCTCGTTGTTTACTCACGTAACAAATCTGTAAAAACACGGTTAATTATAATTGGGCGCGATAATTACTAAAATATGCTTATGTAATATTTTGCACAGCATTTCTATTAATCGTGACGCCTAATTAGAAATATTATTAAATTATAAACCACATGCCCCCTTCTAATTAACTCATTTGATCGGACAATTCGTGTGAATTATTCTGCGCCCTTAATCCGGAAATGATAATTACGCTACGGTATAATGAATCACAAAAGATTCATAGCGTAATACGAGATTTATTAAAATCTTAATGAAGTTAAAGAAGTGATTATTGCAACGAAATAATAATTTATATATGAGTTATCTCTTCTACAGCTTGATCTCCTCAAACACGACGAACGCGTAATACGGATAATGTTACTTTGAGAAATAACCTACTTTGATACACTCGTACACCCATTAATTGTAGAAATTGATTGATTGCGCGGACCGATAATCACTAATTGGTCGGAATAATAGCATTACGAAGAATAATATGCAATGGTACGTGATGCGGCTCGCGACATTGCCTATCTATTCTAGTATCACCGCACGCAAATGACAACACATCAATCTTGTGCATACAATGACCCGCCATACATGTATAACAAATACAAAATTATTGTCCGACTTTAAACAATGATTTATCTAATAAATTCATGTTGAACATATTTTCTTTTTATATTCGAAATTAATTAATTTTTGCAAATGGGCTAATTATTATCGAGCGTCCCATATTATGAACTGATTTGTCACTTAGATTACGAACATTATGTGATTGAAAATTGTTCACTTCCAGGAACGTAATGGAGATATTGTTACTTGAATTTTACTTGAATACGTCGATTTGTTCTAACTTGAGTGATATAAGTATATTTATGCATTTTAATTTTTCGTAATATAATCAAATGAGTTATCGCATGCAAGAAAATGTAATAAAATTAAAATCAAATTCATATTATTTAATAAGTGATTTATAACTATTCTTAGATTTTAAACGGTTAAATAATAATCTGAAATTATTGGCACGTGAGTATTTCCGTTTAATTTCTCGTGGAATCTTGCAAGCGAATGAAAATGCCAAATCATGTGACAAGTGATCGAATATTGAAAATGTTGAATAAATTTTTCGCATTATTTCACGTACGAATAGTCTTGTGAAAGAATATTACGAATGCTCCAAACATTATTAACACGCATATTAAAATTTATATTCCATTTTATCTAGAATTAAAAATTATTTGGCATGTTATTAGCATAATAATTAAGATATAACCGTAATTACACAAATTCTTGAAAAATCTGCAATAATTATATAACCGAAGATAATATAAAATACCTTCAAAGTCACAATATATGATGTATAATTTTCATATTGATAGTTTTTTTTATATATTCAAAATTACGATGCACACACTTGTATGTGTCCCGATTTTATATGAAGAAAAGAAACGATAATGCTTCGCATATAAAATAATTTATTTAAAAAATGAGTTCTATATTGAAAAAATTTGGCTAAAATCAATATAACGTTTGCATTTGCTTATATTCACGTGTTACCGAAATTCATTAATGTTTCAAAATGGATTTACATCGTTTTCGCAAGATAAACGATTCATATGTGCTGCAAACTCACAACACCTAATTTCAGAACAAAATTGCAATTCTGTTGTTGCGTACATGTTAACATGTATCGACTAATTTCATTTCGACATCAACTCGATTCGTTTTGGAGTTAAAATGTTGCATTCACTTCATGAATATTAATATATGATTATCAATTAATTTGTAATTTTTGATGAAAGCTCAATGCTGAGAATTTTGCTCTATGATTTGAATCGCATAATGTCTGAAATAATCAAATTGAATAAAAATATTAACAGTACACTAATGAAATTAAATAAAATTAAGGAAAACAATGCAACAGAAATAATATTTGAAATAGTTTGGCGTAACGTTATGAAAATGTTCAATTACATTAATGATAACAGTTTGATAACCTAAAGATATTAGGTTTTTAATAATCTTATGTATATCTTGCAGAGAATGGGACCAAGCTATAGGAGTGGGCCAGGTTTTTGTCCCACTATAAATGCTACAGAATCTCAAGAGATCCTCGTGTCTTCCGGTATTAAAAAGGCGATACGAGTTAAAGTGCATATCATTGGGGTATGTTACAAAAATACTATTATATCCTTAATGTCTAAATCAATGTAGCTTTTTAATTTTTTGAATTTTTTTATAGAATTTTAAAATATCATATATTTTATAATATAAAATGATGAGTTTAATGAGCAATTAAAATCTTGCAGGTTTTTTTTTTAATTAGAATACATTATTGAAAATTGAAAATTTTATTAAAAAATGATATTCTTACAAATGTGCATTTTGTACAACGAAAATGTGTGTTTTCAGCAATTCATCATACAAACGCGATTTGTGTGCCAATTCAACATCGAGGGTCGCGTGACGAGTGTGAATGCGCGTTTGTTGGCTGACACGATCTACTGTGAGGAGACGGAATTCTCCTACACATCTCGCGCCCCGAACATTACGGTACCTTTTGCCGTGATCTGGGGCGGTTCCAAACCTTTGGATAATCCAGACAATATACACCTTGTGATATACCGTTGCCGCGACATGGCGGACAACTGTGGCATGTGCCTCGCCTTGCCAACGAAATACGGATGCGGCTGGTGTCAGAGCTCAGATAGATGTGAAGTGAAAGATCAGTGTGACCGTGGCTCGGGCATGTGGCTGAACAGCAACCAGACTTGCCCAAATCCGGAGATAAAATCATTCGAACCGGTAATGGGTCCCTGGGAAGGCAACACAAACGTGACGATTCGCGGCATCAATCTTGGCAAGACATTTAAGGTAAGAAAAGTATAATTTGGTCTTTCTCTTATTCATTCATCAAAGTGGAATATAGTCGTTCGTTTATCATTTGTTGTTTACATATTAATGTATTACATACAATGATTAATGGAAGATGAAGAAGTGTTAAAAAAATATTAATGGGAGCATGAGTTGAGAAAAATCGATATTTTGTATTATCTAATAATTTAATCGAGGAATATATTTTTAGAATATATTTTTCGAAATTCAAAGAAGTAAAATTATTAATTATTAAGCATTTCTAACTTATGAAGTGCTTTAGACTAGTTAATGATGAGAGATATGACGATATTATAGATTTAAAACCTTATGAGTGGTCAGAAATAAAAAATAAAATTTCATTAAAGAGATAAATTTTTAAATTGGAGGAAAAGATTTGACGAAAAATATATTCCAAATTCCATTTTAATGAATTAACAAGCTTGTGTAATCTTATTATAATGTGTAATCTTACTGAAATAAAAGTCCGACTGAAAATATGAGTTTAGTAATTTAGAAAATTTATTATGTTGCATATTACTTTCAAATCTTACAAAAAACACTTATTGTCAAAAAGATTGTTATAGTTCTACATATTTGACTTTACAAGTTATTTTAATTTTATATTAAAAAATTATACCATTGATTTTGAATAATCATTTTATAAAAATTATTATTCAAAAAGCCGCAATTAATACTGTCTAAAATTAAAAGGATATTAAAAGGATATTTATTTCTAATGCTAAAAATTAAAACAACATTTGATAAGAATTTTTTTTACGATGATATTTTTATTTGTATGATCATATCTTAAATTAAAATTAATATCTTTTAAGATTTCTAAAAAAATATTTTAAATAACTGATAAGACAAATCACTATTAAAAATTAGAAATGTTTAAAAAAAATCCCATTTTTTATTTTGTATCTCTTCTTCAAAAAACAAGATTTAATTTTTAATTTAAAAATGCACACATATTTTAAATTTAATATTAATATTCGTATTTATTATTTTGCACGTCAAACTTTTATCATCATTAATATAACATTAATATTTATTACTCAACTAAATACATGTTGCAGGACATAGTCGGTGGCGTTACTGTAGCTGGTATGCGATGTCTACCATACGAAGAATTATACATTCGGACAAAGCAAATTGTTTGTCGAGTCGATGGACCAGGCACGCAAGAAGGCAGAAGCGGGCCCGTAATCGTGAAGATAGAGGACTTCCGTGGTCAATCTGATTACAATTTCGAATTCGTAGACCCAGAGATCCTCTCAATATCACCTAAATACGGACCTTTAAGCGGTGGTACTACTATTAAGATCACCGGTAATTATATGAATGCCGGTAGCACTATCCATGCTGACATCGATGAATTACCCTGTTCTATAATAAGTGCTGAACCCAACGAGGCTCTTTGCATGACGAGTCCAAGCGATCGAAAACGAAGCGGTATGCTAAAGATGTCCTTTGATGGTGGCAAGCGTTTATATGATGGCTTCTTCGAATACGTTGACGATCCAACGATAGAGAGCGTAGAAAGTGGCGTGGCTGGTCAGATGAAAGTCCCGAAGGGAATCCCAGCGGGTGGAATAAAGATCTCAGTGACCGGCAAAAATCTTGGCTACATACAAAGCCCGCAAATGTATGTTTACTATGATGAAAAGATGTTTGTATCGCAGTGCGAAGTGCACAGTCAGGAGAGTATGGTATGTAAATCGCCAACTATTGAAGTGCCGGAACACGTAGTATTGGATGCTGAACGCCCACTCTCTCTTGAATATGGCTTCCGCATGGACAATGTCACCGGTGTGCAGAATCTTTCGCAGCACGGTTTTAATCACTTCCTTTTGTATCCAAATCCGATTTATGAAGTCTTCGATGAAGAAGTTAAATACTATAAAAGCGACTATTTGACGATCAATGGTCAACATCTTGATCGTGCATGTCAAGAATCTGACGTAGTTGTGCAAATCGGTAATGCTTTCTGCAATGTCACATCTTTATCACGGCAACAGCTTACCTGTCGACCACCCCTGACGCAACCACCGGCTATTGATGCCCAGGGTCTGCCCAATAAACAAGAACTGCCGGAAGTGGTGCTAATAGTGGGTGGTACACTTCGTTACAACATTGGCAAGCTCAGTTATGCACTGCCAGCTGGATTGAATGGACCATTGTCGAAACCTGCGCTTATCGGCGTAATCATCGCTATCGTGATTTTAGTATTCATATTCATAGCATTCCTTATCGCCTATCGCAGAAAATCTACAGAAAGCAATCGCGTATTAAAAAACATGCAGGAGCAAATGGATATTCTCGAGTTACGAGTCGCTGCGGAATGTAAGGAGGCCTTTGCCGAATTACAGACGGAAATGACTGATCTCACAGGAGATCTTACCAGCGGTCTCATACCCTTCCTTGATTACCGCACTTACGCGATGATGATATTGTTCCCCAGCGACGATAACAGTCCGGTGCTGCAATGGGACAGACCCGAGCTCGTACGAAAAGAAAAAGGATTGCGTCTATTTGGTCAACTAATAATGAATAAGACATTCCTACTGTTGTTCGTACGAACGCTCGAAAGCAATCGTTACTTCTCGATGCGTGATCGAGTCAATGTTGCCAGTCTGATTATGGTTACATTACAAAGCAAAATGGAATACTGCACGGACATTCTGAAAACTTTGCTGGCGGATCTTATCGAAAAATGTACGGAAGGCAAAAGCCATCCTAAGTTATTCTTGAGACGGTAAGTATTTGACGATATTCTATTTTATCAATATTTGATGTCACAAATATTTATAATTTTAAGAGAAATTTATTTATTTCATAGAACTGAGAGCGTTGCAGAGAAAATGCTGTCTGCTTGGTTTACATTTCTCTTGTACAAATTCATGAGAGAGTGCGCCGGTGAACCATTATACGTATTGTTTCGTGCGGTAAAACAACAGGTCGATAAAGGGCCTGTCGATGCGATTACATCGGAAGCACGATATTCCTTGTCCGAAGAAAAGTTAATCCGACAATCTATCGATTTCAAGCCAATGGTAAAGAAGCGTCAATACTTCAATAAGATAAATTGATGCTTTGTAATAATAATGTTTTTGTTATAATTTCAGACGGTCTACGTTTCGATATCCCAACAAACTGTATTTGTTGGCGGAATAGATCCTAACACGGAAAACGTGCCAGTCAAAGTTCTTGATTGCGATACAATATCTCAAGTGAAAGAGAAAGCGTTGGATACGATTTATCGAGCAACTCCTTATAGCCAAAGACCTCGAAAGGAAGATCTTGATCTCGGTAAGAAACTGTTGAATATTTAAACTCTATATAAAATTTCTGTATGATTCTCATATTATATTTAATGAAATATTGCAGAATGGCGAACTGGTGCATCCGGTAGATTAATTCTCTATGACGAAGATTCAACAACGAAGACAGAGGGTGAGTGGAAGAAGAGAAACACTTTGAATCATTATAGGGTACCAGACGGAGCATCGCTCAACTTAGTTTCCAAACAATCGTCTATATACAATCTCTCAATTCTGTCGGAGAAAACGGACAAATCGCACAAGTACGAGACCTTGAATCTTAGCAAATTTAGTTCGGCCAGTCCTCCACTCTCCCGTGCCACCTCTCCGCTCAATCAGAATATCGAAGCTGGTTTGAAAGTCTGGCATCTTGTTAAGCATCACGATTCTGATGCGCGAAAAGAAGGAGATCGTGGCAACAAAATGGTCTCGGAGATCTATTTGACGAGGTTATTGGCAACAAAAGGTACACTTCAAAAGTTCGTTGATGATCTGTTCGAGACAATATTCAGCACTGCCCATCGAGGTTCGGCGCTTCCTCTCGCCATTAAATATATGTTCGATTTTATGGACGACCAAGCTCTACAACACGGCATATCCGACCCAGAAGTGGTCCACACGTGGAAGAGCAATTCCCTTCCTCTTAGGTTTTGGGTTAATCTCATAAAAAATCCGAATTTTATTTTTGATATACACAAGTCCAACATCGTGGACTCGTGTTTATCCGTCGTAGCGCAGACATTCATGGACAGCTGCTCAACGTCGGACCATAGATTAGGTATGTACTTTTTGCCAATTTCTTTCTGTTAAATATTACACTCACGCGTAATTAAGGGGATTTGGGAAAACATACATAAATACATTTCCCTTTTATTACTTTTAGGTAAGGACTCTCCGAGTTCAAAACTACTATATGCGAAGGACATTCCAGTGTACAAAGAATGGGTAGAACGTTATTATTCAGATATTAAAGTCATGCCAGCCATATCCGATCAAGACATGAATGCCATGCTTGCCGAAGAATCTAGGGTACTTATTCATTTCTATATTTACAAATTTTATGTTTATATGAATTTCGATATTCGTATGAAGTTTATTCAGATTAATTTTTAACGCATTAATGTTTGTCTTTCAGTTGCATACAACGGAGTTTAACACGAATTGTGCTTTATTTGAACTATATACATACGCGGGTAAATACAACGAACAACTAATAGTCACTCTCGAGGAGGACGAGTTCTCGCAGAAGCAGAGACTGGCGTACAAACTCGAGCAAGTGCACAATATAATGGCGGCAGACAATCCCTGATGTATGACCATGAATTCCATGAAGCACATGACGAAGCCTGCTCGTCAAGAGTTACCCTGCTGAGCGGTCAATCGCGATCCGGTATAATTATCAACGGCGCGAACAAAGGGAACTGGCCTACCTTGTAATCGATTATCTCAGGTTCCGTGCAAAAGCCAGTTTTCTCAGCTTAACGTGAATCGCGAGTGAACTTGGGAGTTACTCCAATGAGGAGACTAAACGCCGCGAGTTAACTGGGAATTAATTAAAGAACTAAGTGTTAAAAGTATGTGTCGAGAAAGTCTTCTCAGAGGTCGCCAGTTCGTAGATGTGGCCATAATCATAAGCATATTGTCGCGTGCGCGCATAATTGTACATAAGATATCAAAATCATGAATAATTGTAATAGGATATTAAATGTACGATCACCCCTCGACGGCCGAGTCGAGTGCAAAAGCGGGGCGAGAGCGTTTCCTTCGCCACGCGGTGATCGCACGTCGTTTGCACCGCGAGTGATTTTAAAAATGAATGTAATAATGTGAAACACACACACACACAATAGTGATAAGAGAGGCGAGTGAGGGAATCAGCTGCGATATCGATCGATAATTTGTAAATGTGTTTAAAAGAAAAAAAAAAACGGTCGATCGTCGGCGCCGTGATCTCGACGGTCTGGCGATTTTTAACGAAGAAACATTTCCATCCACCGCTACTCTAGCTGAAATTTTTTGAATTACGAGAACTGACGAATTTTAAGAGATAATGATAATTATCGATAACGATGAAATAATTAAACGATATGGGTATATTATATATATGTATGGATGGTATGTCGTATGTATATGTGTACATATATACACTTTATACCGGCGCAAGCATGCCTGTGTGTGCGTGTGCGTATATCTAGTATCTGAGAAGAGGAGGCGCGCGTGCGAGCAGGTAGGACGATATCTCCGCGCCGAGTTATTTTGCCATAACTTTCACACAAAACGAGACCTAAAGAAGTCTCATTCGCTCACACGCTTATAAGCGCGCTGTCGCACGCTCCATAACTCGGCAGCGCCGTACCGCACGCACGTGCGTATTTAATCTGGTGTATTACGTATACTTACACGGCGCTCGAGAAGGAAGGAAGAAGGAGAAAAAGTCATCCGCGCAACGGAGACAGACTGTGTATTAGTTAGTAAGTAATTAATCTATGGACTATGGCCGCGCGCGAGGCCAGCTCGATGTGACGGTTGTGTTGAGTGTGCGTGCTTCCCCTCCTTGGTCTCCGCGACTCATTGTTCCATTTCGCCATTTAATCGTTCATTCCTATCGTCGTGCATCTATCACCGATGTCATCGTCGCTATTCCATAATCATCGATAACCCTCTACCCTTTTCCTATCTCATCTGTCTGTCCATCGCTATTTCCCAATCTGTCTCTTTCACACACACACACACACACACACACACACACACACACACACACACACACACACACACACACACACACACACACACACACACACACACACTCTCTCTCTCTCTCTCCTCCTCCTCCCTCCCCGCCCTTCAAACTTGTAGCATGTCCATTATCGAAAAGCTCTTGCTCTTCCTTCATCCTTATAGAATTTACATCTACATGCCACTTTCAATCTCTCTTTCTCTATTTCTCTCTTTCCCTCTTGTAATGCTTCAACGCCTCCGTCGTCATGTTGTTGTCACTCTTAATTATTGTAATATATAATGAATAACGATCACTGTTGAGTATTGTCTGATTGTAATACATTGATATTGAATTGATATTGAATTGATAATCATTAATTAAAAGCGTAACACTAACTCTGTGGATGTAGCCATATTGGTGTGCATGAAAATGAACTGTACGAATGGATATGAGTTTGATTGAAAGCCGGAAGCATTGCACAGTATCGAAAGAAAAAGGACACACATAGCACTTTGGAATCTTGTGTCTGGGTACTGATATTGCTGAAGGATCGTCTTCTCGATGAACAAACTTGTCACGTTTTGTCATTCCCTTCGTATTTAACACGCACAAATTGCCAAATCACATCAAGTTGTCTGCAAATTGGATAAATTCGATTTACGGGATGCCTGATCATGATATGATTTTACATACTATTGAAATGTAAGGAACCAATGCGATTCGAAGTTGGAAGTTTCTTCGTAGCTCGTAGTTCTTATTTAACATAATTTTCTGTCAATGCGTACGGCTAGTAGCGACTGTCCGACGTGTATGCGCGTGTGCATGTGTCCTGTGCGTCAATTCAATGTGCAGTTATACGTGGAGAAAGTATTTATTGCTCAAAAAACATCGGAAGACCGTGGTGGAAAGGTAAGGAAGCGGATAAAAGATACGGAGTTGTTGGTAAGCTTACTGGAAAAGGAATTGGGGGGAGGGCGGGATGAAAAATAGGAACAAAGGACAGACGGTGGAATCTACGCGGTGGCGAAGACACATCGCCAGACAGGGTAATAATCGCGCGACGGGGAAAAAAGAGGCGAGAGATGATACGACTAATGACGACAACGACAACGACGACGACGGACCAACCAGATCATCTAACAAAATAATGGTTCCTCTCGAGGATGAGACGTGAACGCGTGCTCGCCCGCTGTTCCGCGCACGAAAGGACGGGGCGTGCGGCACCCTCCCCCGCGCACGCCGACTTCAAATGGTACTAATAAACCCAAAGTGCCTCTGGTAGATTTTTGGGCATAAGCTTGAGTAATAAAGACTACATAGTGTTTACTATAAAAAAAAAAAAAAAAGGAAAGAGACACGACTACGACGCGACCGCTGATTATAATAAAACGATAATAAAAGAGCCGAGAAAGAGAGAGATTAAAAGAAGGGGAAAAAATGAAACGAAACATGGCGAGAGTGCTTCTGCAGACGCGCCCTCCGTAAAAATGATTGCACGCGAAAAGCGAGCGGAGTGCGGGCGTACCGGGGTGTGTACGCGGTGCGTACGCTAATTAAACGTTTAGATAGATATTAACGTATAGTCGGTAGCCTAGTCTCTATGTCGGTGTCTGTCTGCCCTGAGTGTCTTTCCCACGGTGTACCCCTGAAGTGCGTGTACCTTGAAATTCCGACGAGCAGACGTGCGATTCCCTCACGGTCCACCATCCTCGATCACTGTCGTCCTCGAATCCCGCCTCTCCCCCGCGTCTGTCCCCGGCTGTGTATCGACCCATTTATGGATCCTCGCCGTCCTTCATCTCCCGAGCCCCCCAGTCCCCGAATCCTCTCCAGTACCTCGACATCCCATCTTTTAACGCAACTAACTGTGCTCACATCACGCGTCATTTGCCACAATTACCGATCGGCACGTTTTGCTAAGTAAATATTATTATGATTATTATTATTATTATTATTATTATTGTATCGATGGTTCCTCATCAATTGTGGAATATACAAATCCCGGTTTGTAAAATTCGACTTAACTAAGGAGATGTGTAATAACTTAATCATCGTATCGTTCATGCGTGGCTTGCTGCCCCGGCAGTCTAACTACCGTCGTATGCTTGAATGTGGAAACAACATGCGCGCCTCCGAGAATGTTTCCGCTGTACGCTGGTGTACGAACGTGTATGAATATCTGTGTTTATTACATCACCGCTTCTTTGTCAATCTCATTCATATCCGTATTTCCCTTCCTCTCGTTGTTATCAATCCTATCGGACGTCCGTTGGATTGAGCGGAGAGGGATGGAAGAATTTGAAAAAGAGATGCAAAGAAAACGAGGATGCATGATTGAATGAATGATTGAATGAATGTCAGGTGGATTGTGCAAGACTGAGAGAGGCAGCGGAGGGAGCTTGCCAATCAATTCCAAGGCCGCTCCCTCGCCGCTCATTTTTACGTCATAAATATTAATTATGATTATACATAAAGAGGATAAACGTATCCAGCAAAACATGATTACGTTACGTTTATAATAGTCATGTTCCTTTCCGATCGATGATAATTGATAATAAATCTATATCAACCTTGCTACATTATTTTGTACTTGTTTTTTAATATTTCTTAATTTTTTAATCTTAATATATTATATATATACATATATATAAAATCTATAAATAATGCCGTTTTTAAGTTATCAGACGTATTATTATCATTATTATTAATTATTATTTTTGTATAAATGTGTGATTAATAGTACGGATAGTGTAATAATTTTGTATGTTTATTGAACCAAAAATAAATATTATTGATAAAGAAAGAGGGTTGCCTGAGCAAACTGTTTGTATTTCCGTTTCAATTTTCATCATCATCAGTTACAGCAATGGCCTTCTCGGACATCGGTTGTGATTGTTGCATCACGCGTAAACTTCGCGGCCCAATAGTGCTTAAGATGACTGGTAGCAGAATCAACCCATGCCAAAGTCCGAATAAAATTACCAGGAAAAATATTCGGAAAAAAGCTATAAACACATAGGATGTCGAGAGTGCCAGCATTGAAACAGCGAGCAATGTTGAACCTGCGCCATACGCAACAGCCGCGCCGATATGCCTAACTGCGACCAATGCTCGAGTTCTGCGAGTATCATTATCTTCTTGTGATTCGGCATTCAGAAAAGCGTGTGCGACATGTGCGGCATAATCTACACTTAAACCAACGGCTAGCTCAAGACCTGCAAACAATTTTTACTGAGATAGCTGTCGGAACAAATCTCTGATTAACAATAAAAGAAATTTGTAATGAATAATACTTAAATAAAACTCGTTTTAAAGAAATGAGAACGGATATTTATTATGTGTAATTTAAAAGTACGCTGTAATGAAGAAATATTTAATTTTTAGTTTTACAAAAAAAATAATGAAATTTGTATTCATATTTTTAAACTCATATTTAATATATGTTTCGTGATCTTGTATAATCAATATCTTTTTGTATATACTTAATCTTTACGAAAACTCACAATGATAATGGAAAGCTTCATAATAAATAGACTAAATCCAGACAAAAATTAATTAATGTTTTATAAAATTGAGATAATTATCATTTATAAGCTGGATTATACGCCAGAATTTCTTTATAAAAAGAATTCCTTATTTTTTTACTTTATCAGATAACTTTTTAATTTATATATATATATATATATATATGTTTATTTATCTTTCGCAATAAAGAAAGCTAAATTAAAAAAGCTAAATTTATAAATTACAATAAAAACAAAATAAAAACGTGGAATATACACTCACCGATACAAGACACTATGTCTATTGTTAGTCCCCAAAAATACATGAAGCCGCAAACATTTACCAGCGTGAGAAGTACACAGAGTAAGATCCAACAACAAGTCTGTACTTCGGCAATGAGAATCGCTGTAGTACCCATGACACAGATCAATGCCAGAATAAGGTTTCGCAAAACCTCTTGAGCGATTAATTTATCAGTTATCCACGGTCCGAACATTTTGCACCAGACTGTCACATATCCATGAAGTTGTGCTTCGTTTGTTAAATGCTTACTGTCGTCCATCGCTGGAATCCATTCATAAGGAGTCATAAATCGCTTGAACTTGAAGTCAATAGTTGCTGCTATGATTCGTGGGGCTTTTCTACCACATTTGAATTTTTCTTTGAAGAGAAAATTTCTCTGATATTTCCCGCCAACTCGACTAACAAGAAATTTCGATAGATAATGATGGAAGTCATCGTCTGCGATTTTTGTAGTTTTTAAATCTGATAAAAAAATAACATTCTTTAAATAATTAATGAAATCATCAAATTAATCGATGAATAATTCGTTTGTCTTAAAAGTTTTCCATAAACGATTTTACGACATCTACATTTTATAAATTTAAATAAATCTTGAATATAAATTAAGATTTTAAAAATATATAGATTTTAAAATATATTTTCTTTCACAAAAGAAAATTAAATTCTTTTTCATCATTTTTAAGACTAACGACTCGAATATGTGTTATAACAAATAACCTGTGTCATAATACATCGATACGAATTTTTCAAAGTCAATCGGCCAAGGTTCTATATTTTGTATAAAAGATGTGTTCTGTAGGCGTTCGGTCAAAAATATTATTTTAGAAAATTCAGAGGAATAATCAATATCGTCTCCCATAAGAACGAAGGCCTCAAACCCTTGATCGGGAAATGCTTGATTTCGAATGGTTATATATTGACTCAAGTATGATTCTTTCGGCAACAACCATTTTGGATCAAACCATTGTTCCAGCTGAAGCGAGCCCATGATACTTATAGACATCGTTACAAGTGTCACTAATATTATAATAATTTTTCCATGCGTAGTCAATATTATGCGCGAGTACAAAAAATTTATAAATTTCCAAGAGATTGCATTGCTAGGGTCCAGCATTTTGGGCACAAAATTTTCGTGCACAATACACGGTAAGGCTCCATTTCTTTTTCGTTCTATTCTTCTAGCATCCAAAGTAAACAAGCAATAAAAAATGTAATTTGTAATAAAAATGTTACAAATACTCCCACTGCAGCGTAGATACAAAATGATTGAAGCGATGGTAATATCTAGAAGAGGATTGTACATTATAATAACAATATCTTTTTATAATCATACTTACTCTCGTGTAAAGAAAAGAATGCATAACATAGATCAAGTCTGGCAACTATTTTGAATATAGATTGAGAAATTAATTTATTTAAATTAAATCGAAATCATTACTTTATATTTTAAGAATAAACGCGGAAAAAATATATTATTAAATATCTTACATAAAAATCATCACATCTTAATATAAAATATAATACAAAAAAATGTTTCTAAAAAGATGATATACTCTTACATAAATTATTCAGAAAAAAAGATAAAACAAAAAGCAATATTCATCTTATAAATATCTACATGTATTTTCTTTCAAAATATTATATTATTATAACATAAATTAGAATAAGAACAAAAGTAAAATAATATAATTGTGAATTAGCCACAACAGTCAGAGTGTTATGCATTCTTCATGCAAGTAATACCGTACGTACTGTAGAAGCACCAATGATGAATGCCACAACGTCAGTAAGCGAGGTAAGACTGATAGCAGAACCAGCATGACCTAAAGTAAGTCCGATTCTTTCTGTTAGTGGTTTATTTAAATTTAATTCATCAGTATGGATCTGTTTCCAAGATGCATTAATTACAAAAATGTCATCTATCCCCAGACCTAAGAGTAAAAATGGTAATGACGTATGCACTGGACCATATGGGATGCCGATCAGAGAGCATACTCCTACCGCGAGTATAAATGCACCACCCACACATAAAAGACCGGTACTAGTAAGACAAAACTGCAGAAAAAATAAAAAATTTTCACTAAATACAGGTACCAAATCATTCAAAGTTATTATCTTTGAAATAATATATACGTACTTTCCATTCTACCCAATTATAATTCGACAGAATCGTTAAAACATATAAAAACATTAAGAAAATTCCGATTATTAATTTATCTATATCTTGAAAAATAGATGTTCCACTAATATCTCCAAAACTTCTGCTAGCTTCATAATAAAGTGTTAAAGAATTATTCCCACTTTTTTTGCTTTGCAGTTTGTTCGATAGATTTTCTGCATGTTTTAAATAAGCTGCTTCCCATTTTAATACATCATCTGTTGCCTATGTATAAATGATTGATTTTTATACTAAGATAATTTTTATTCGTTCGTTATGTAAACTAGATTTAATGCTACAGATAAAAAATAAAATTATGAGTAAATGTACAAATAATAAAAATACATATTCTAATAGATAATAATAGAAATAGTGAACATAAAACACAATGTATTCACATAAATATTATAAATCATTAATATTTTTAACATTACAATAAAAATATGATTAAATAATAATATGAATAACGATATTAAAATAAAAATCAATTTTTTTATGACTTTAATATCACAGTTTTATTTTCAATAAAATTATCTTGATATAAATTTTATAATGAAATTTGATATAAATGATAATGAAATATAAAAGGCCTAAATCATAGAATATAAAGAATATGAAGAAACATTTTAAAAATGTTTTCTTTTTTCTTTTTTCAATCATTTTTCCAATTATTTTTAAAAAATATATAAATTATTTCCAGAAGAATAATCTAAATTTTATTATACTAAACTTTGAGATTTTGCAAGATAGTTATCTAATATTAAAAAATATATAATTATGATTCAGGCCTTGACATGAACTCACCTTACCCAATCAGCAGTCCCTGCCATGTTCCCAATTTTATCCATGTTCACATTGAGAAAATTAACATGAACCATCAGATCTGTCCGTACAGCCGTTGCAGCAATAATTCTACCTTTTTCATCCAGAGTTACATCTCCTAGAAGTTCATTAAAATTCATGGGATGTCCCAACGTAGAACTCACATTTATTGTATTTATTTTAGTGATAATTTCTTCTGGGGAATCTTTTTCAATTTTGGCATTGTCAAAATTCCATATATCCAAGATACTAAACATTAGGCAACCTATAGGTAAACTATCAAATATGCTACAATATAATTTAGTATTGACATGAACAGCAGGTTCAAATAAAGATTCATTAATTTTTGTAACAAGATCATCATCAAAAAAATCATCTTCTAAAGGAGAACTTTGTCTCTTTTTTCTTTGCGTGTAGTCAGAAATAACAGGAATTCTGTAAATAAAAAGTTTCAATTACATAATGAATTATATTATATTAATTATTTTTTATTTGTAAAATTCATATAAGGCTTTATATATAATAAAATTAATTCTTCAATAAAAATTTTATATTTTATTCTTACTTCATACAAACATCTGTCCAAGAAATGTTTTCAAATTGTGTTTGAGTAGAAATTATTTGTTTAGTGATTTCATTTAACTGCAAGAAACAATAAAAATATATTACTGATATCTCAACATAATCAATCATATATAACAAATAAGAATTATAAGAACAAATCATCTACTGCATTGTTATATGATTACCTTAATAAGTGTTTGTTGTTCCAAGACATTATTGCCAATTAGAATAAAAGATTGAATTCGCACAGCCTCTTCATAATGTGACAATAACCATTCAGTATCCCTCACAAAATCAGAATCTGATGGAACCCAGAGTTTGTTAGGATTCTTTTCTTGTCGGAAACGAAACAAGCCTAGTATACAGATTAATATTATCACGAAACATCCGAACATCCATTTGAACGGATTTTGGGCGATGTGCACTCCAAGCCTGCACAAAGATAAAAACGTTCCATTGTCACTTGTTAGTTTCACTGAATTCTGAGAGACAAGGATGCACATACCGATAAAAGAAATGCTCTACCGTTTTGGAAATGCGTTCTGGTAAACTGCGCCAAAATCCACAGAATGATCGTCCTTTAACATCTTCGTGCAGCTCCATTCTTTCCTTAATCATGATGAAAAAGAGAGAAAGATCAGCGCCAGTCAATCAGATCGAACGGTAACGTGTAATTGACGCGATTCAAATCTCTCGTCCGTCGAGAAGACATGGCACATCGGGATGACCGCACCGGATGACTAATCGCGATTAATTACTGTCATTATGAGTGATGTCGCATCGCGAATCTCATTCCCATCCGCGATTCTTAAAGACAACATTCGACGACACGCTATAACCCTCAAGTGACGGCGAAGCGCCTCTCGTGTCTCTCTCTCTCTCTCTCTCTATCTATCTACCGCGGAATTCGTGTATCACAATACATCATAAAAATTAGTCGATAATGCGCTTTTGTGATTGTGTGCTCCCGTTGCGGGCGCGCGAGAAGTTTTAAAACATTCAACAACACAGCTCGCATTGTTATTCACTACGTAACAGCTATTATGTCTGTGCAACTGTGCATCAGTATACGCGATTGGTCGATTGTTCGAGCAGAGGTGCGCAATAAAAATTAGACGACGAGCAACTGCTCCCTTTCCGTACTTACGTATTATCTGTTTCGTTTTCCCACTCACTCGTTTGCTATTTCAATAATAAATCTGACGAGGTAATCAGGCTTAAATATTAATTCTTGTGTCGATTATCTTGGAAAACCAGAAAAATTTTAAGTTCTCTTCTATTTCTAAACTTTTATCAAGCTTTGATATTCACCTTCTTGAAAATACGTTTGAGTTTTGTGTTATATTCCGTCTTACTATTTTCGTAGTTTGCTAAAAATATCATTTGTCAGGAATCTTGTTCTCAGACAAATTAAGAGACAGAAGACAGCAACCGATCCTATCTGACCGACGGTAGGATTCGAGTTGAGCACCGCTATGTCTAAAAATGATCACGTGGGCAGTACAACGCGCACAATGGTTCGCGCATAAACGTTTAAATTAATTTGAATATTCCGCGTTCCGCGCAATTAAGATTTGCAAATACTTGCCTCACACATTTTGTTTAACCATCTAAAAAAACGCAACATGGTGTAATGTTCAAATTGTCGACATTACAGAGATCAAGCGGATTAGCATTAAGAATCGAAATGATATATTTATATATCAGACATATTCAAAAAAATTAGGTTTAAAA